TCTAGCGGTATATTTTTGTTGAAATTCTTTATGGAATCCATTGAAAAATTCCAGCAGAAATAATAGCATTGAAATATTCATTGAAATTGCCGTTAGAAAAATTATATTGAAATATATTTCCGCTGCAATTTCATCATTTTCTCTTGTAGTGATAAACATAAATAAAAGTATAAAAATTTATTATAAATTTTCATTTTTTTTTGTTGAAAAAATATGATAGGTCGAGCTGATTAACAGTTGGGTCACCTCATACAATAATTTGTACTTGTTTTGAGCTCCAAAATGAGATCAAATTCTTTGCCAATATTAAAAAAAAATAAAAAATATCATACTAACAACACAAATATATGTATGACATTTGACAAATAAATTATGATGTCTTAAACAAACACTCACCTTCTTACGTTTGATTTACGTATATGCTTTGTAATAATAATAATTATATGTGCATTTATTTGTATCTTTGAAAAACTTAATAGCGGATTGAACAAGTTGATGATCATTTTTGTCAATGTCTTTACGCGTCATGAATTATTATTCTTTCTTTTATTTATAACCAAAAGGGACATTATGAGCAACATGTTGCATGGAGCTGGTATTATTTCAAATTTAAGTCCCCGGTTTTGCTATGAAGCCCACAGTTGGCTCCACAGTGAAGCCAATTTTCTATATACAATAAGCATGGACGGATTTATTTAAGGTCTGGGCTGGGCTGAAGCCCAGGCTTATTTTTTTTTTTAACCATTATTAGTTATCAAATTTTTTTGATTTTGTACTTAGCCCAACCCAAACTCAATAAATCAACCAATGAACTCACCAAAATATTCTTATCTATTCAAGCCAAAACTCCATACACCATTCTAAGCAATCACTGTACCCCAAACTTGACAAACTTCATATTTCCAATAGAAAATAATAATCAGCTGCGTGTCAGATCTAAAAAAAAAAAAGACTACTCAAGGTAAATTGTAATTTTAAACCACATATTAGATATTTGTTTCATTTGTCTAATTGTCTTTATTTATCATTTTATTTTAATTAGGCTATTTAGGGTTCTAATATTAATTTGCCATGATCATTTGC